TCAAGCCCCGTGTCGGGCTCTGTGCTGACAGCTCAGAGCCTGGAGCCTGTTTCCGATTCTGTGTCTCCCTCTCTCTCTCTGCCCCTCCCCTGTTCATGCTCTGTCTCTCTCTGTCTCAAAAATAAATAAACGTTAAAAAAGAAGTCTTCTGTTCAAAAACGTATAATGGCTATTACCAATGCCTTAAACCCCTCAATCTGGAGGTTATGTCCCCTATAATCTGATTCTACCTGGCTAGCAAAACCTTATCTCTTCCTGCTCTCAATTCCCATTCCAACCAAAACTATAATATTTTATGGTTCTTTTGTTCCTAAACACCATTCTCAATTTTAGGCTTTTGCTCGTGCTATTCCAGGCTAAAACCATTTTTTCCCTTCTTTTTTACCAATCCAAACACTCCCCATCTTCTAAAGCTTTAAGTTCTACTCCATCAAGAAACCCCATTTTTCCAGTCTACAAGGATCTGCTTACTGAATTTCTTTATTATTATCTGTGCAATCAAATACATACTGACTTGTAACATTATCCAATTGTTCCTGTTAAACATTCTTAGCTTCCCAACAAGACTAGATCCCTCAAAAGATTAGAGGTTTTTTTCTCCATATTTCTACTGGTTGGCTTCACAAATATCTCCAACTCATTTTGTTCAAAACAGATTGTCAGGGCACCTGGGTGGCTCAATTGGTTAAGTGTCGGACTCTTGACTTCCGCTCAGGTCATGATCTCACAGTTCATGAGATCAAACACCGAGTCAGGTTCCTCACTGATGGCACGAAACCTGCTTGGGATTCTCTCTCCTCTCCCTCTGCTCCTCCCCTGCTCTCTCTCTCGCTCTCAAAATCAATGCTGTTAAAAAAAACAAAAACAGGTTAATTATCCTCCTTCAGATTTGTCCCCCCTCACAGGATTCTTCATTTATTAAATGGCACCACCAAAATGAAATCCAGGCAGCAGTCTTGATCCCCACCCTCTCCCATTCAATCAGTCTCCATGTCTCATTGGTTCTACCTCCAAAACATCTCTTGAATGTATCAATCTCTTTCCTACTCCACTACTACCACTTTGGTCTAGGTTACTTTCATCCTAAGCCTACTTTTTAAGTTTTTATTTATTTTGAGAGAGAGAGAGAGAGAGAGAGAATCCCAAGCAGGCTCTGTGCTATCAGCGCAAAGCCCCACGTAGGGCTCCATCTCACAAACCATGCGATCATGACATGAGGTGAAATCAAGAGTCAGACGCTTAACCGACTGAGCCACCCAGGCGCCCCTAAGATATTTTATTCTTGCCTCCTTCTTCCATTACATTTCACATATAGTAGCCAAGAGATCTAACATCTACATCAAGTCAACCCTCTTCTGAAAATCCTTCAATGACTCCCCACACACTTAGAATGAAAACCAAACTCCTTATAATGGTTTTCCATTAATATGCAACTCCAGTCACATTGGCCTTCTTTCAGTTATTTCAGTGCCAAGTGCTGCTATGTCTTAGGGACTTTGCACATACTGTTTTCTCCTTCTGTTATGCTCTTCAAATTACTGTTTCCTTCTCAACCTTCAGATCCCAGCTTCAATGTTATTTGCTCAAAAAGGACCTTCCTGACACCATTTTTAGAGAAGATTTTAGGATGTCTTTCATACCCTTCTGTGCTTGGTACATAGCAGGTACATAACATTCTTTCCAATTTGATTTTTTCGTTGAGGAGGCTTAACTTTTTGCTATTTTCTAGTACCTCTTTTGGTGGTTCAATTGCAAACCTGACACCTGGGCGTAGGTCAAGTCCCTCATTAGGTCTCTCTCCTCACACCCTATTTATAGTGCCCTTATCAGTTTGTAATTACAAATTTGTGATTATTTGCCTAATGCTTTCTCTATATAAACAGCATAAACACAAAAAGGGCTATATCAGAACACTAGTCCATAAAGAAATGAAATTATTATATATGTTTGCAATGACCTCCTCCTCCACCCACATTCCCCAAAGCTTATTCTCCCAGTTCAGGTACGATGTAGCACTGCCTTCAAGATACTATACTGTATATAAATATAAGGTATTTTCCCATTTGCCAAAAGAAAACTTCATAAATGTGTTTCAGCTGGCTTAAGTATATGTTTTTTGAATGAAGATCAAATAGTCAAATGCCTATTGCTTTATCAATTTAGTTACACATACATATTTCTCAAATGACAAAATTTATTTAGGAATTTCATCTTTTTCTATTCTCATTGAACAGAACAATTTTATGGAAACTGTTCACATCTATCTTTGATATCAACAAAGCCATTTTTTTCATCTAACACAACCTTCCTGAATATACATTTAATTCTAAGTTATTTGAAATATGGTACCCTTTGAATCCATGCTAGATGCTATCCCAGTATATCTTATTCCAAGCCCAAAGTATTCCTTCACTATCTGAATGACCTCTAAAACAATATCATATGTATAGTATCCACTTAGTACACTGCTTATTAAGGCGATTTTTACTAAGCTTGTTTACAACTTCACACTTCCATGAAGTTCTACCCCCAGGAAAAACTGATAAATCCATTAAAATGTCTTTGCTTTTTTTTAAAATCCATTTCATCAGGTGAATTTTATAAATATCCAAATTGACACTGATTGAAATCATTTAGGCTGTGTGTCTTCCCCCAAACAATTAAAAATAAAATAATTGACAGAATTTCTGCCTCATAACAGGAGAGTCTTTTGTAAAGACTCAAATATAAAGTTTTCCTATGAGAGACAATTTGGAGGAGGAGCTAATATTTAGGCTGACGCAACTTATCAGACTGGCTATTCCGCGTCAAAAGTTCAAAGAAAAAAAAAGCAAACAGTTGTTCATCTTTCCTCTCAACTTCTTCCGAAGCCTGGTAATATCATGATGCCCCAAACAACTCCCCAACTTACTCTTTCCTTTACAAGTACATGCAATTACTTATCATAGTTAAAAAAAACAATAGTATCTATCTGTCCTATTTTCTCCTTAGTGATTCTTTCCCATGTTCAGCCCTATCCCTAATCAGTTGATCATCATCATCATCGTAGCTAAAGTTGCTTGTTTCTCCCACTGCCAGACCCCTTACTGAAGGGCTTCTTCTACTATAAATTACAACCAAAATTCTCACCTAGCCCCATCCTAAAACTTCTTACCACAGTCCCCAAATCTAATGGACAAAGGTAGGATGGGGGAAGAAAAATGGGACAAATTTGACTTTTAAGGCTCAAAAAGACCTAAGAGCATTACCACTAAGAGTACTGTAAGGAAAAAGAGGAAACTTGATGGGTACCATCTAGGAATGGGCTACATAGTCTTTTCTTCTCCATGTTTTTATACAAGTTGAGATTGTTATTAAATAGTGGCTATAGGCTAGCATTGAGAGTAGTTTATCAATTGAGAAAATTGGGGGTCCAGAGGAGGCAAATGTATCATTAATGAAGACAAAATTACATACAAAACATGAAACAGAAATTAAACAACTTGAGTGATATACTTTTTCATTTAAGGTACAGATAACTTTTGGGGCACCTGGGTGCCTCTTGCTGTCAGGGTCATCCTCCATGATAGGCGTGGAGGCTACTTAATAACAACAACAACAAAAGATACAGATAACTTCTAATTTAATGTTAGGCCTAAAAAACAAAAAAACAAAAAAACTTAAAAGGGACTCTACCAGTAAGAGGAATTTGTTTGAAAAGAAATAGCTTTGGAAGCATGGATACAATTACAAACAGGTAAACTTCCTAAGACAGAATTCCACATTCTATTGGTTCAAATACTAATAGTTGCTATTATGTAAAAGAAGCAAACTGGGAGATACTTGTATTTCATTCCGGGAAGAAAAATTAAAGGAGATATGGAAGCAGTGATGTATTAAAATATTTATTATTTGGTCACAGGCCTATTAAGGGTAATGTGAAGTAATTTCTAAAATTGATTTGCTTTGTAACTTCAAAAAAAAAAAAAAAAAAAGTCCATAACTCAATGACAGCACTTGATAGAGGTCAACTCTTCTATTCAAGTCAAAGATCCTATGGTGAGCTGAGAGTCTCCCAGACCTGGTCCATCAGTAAGGGACAAAAGATTCAGTTTCTTGAGATGGCAGGGGGAAAATGACTGGCACTGCATCACACTTCAAATCCAATAGGGTTTCTCCCGTGCCAACAGAGCACTGTGCGTCAAAGCATACCTTGGTGTCGTAAGGACAGCGAAATGGATGTAAAAACCCTTATTTGTCTTTCATTTCCTGAACGCACTATCAACATGCACAAAACACTCCTGATCCCCATCACACCGGTCACGGGGAAAAAAAAAAACAACAAAACACCCAGATTTGCCGTTTCCACCCCTTCCCCTCGTATAGGTGCTTGCCCCTCAGCGCTGGGCCTCGGGAGTTCTCTTCCCAGATCATTGTCCAGTGGGAAATTCACTGAGCGAGGAAAGCAACGTGGGCTATAGGACGTCTGTTACCAAAACAGAAATTAGTATTAAAAATACCGATCTTATCGGCCCTCCGCCCTCTCACATAAAACAAAAACAAAACCGAACACCACCACCCCCACCACCCCCACCCCCACCCCGCCAACTTGCCCCACCATTACGAAGATCATACAAGCTCTGATCAAACGTGATTCCCAATCATCCCGGGGCAAGGGAGCACCTGGGGCGAGTTTTCGGCCCCTGGTCTCTCACCCCGGCCGGGGGGGGGCCAGGCCCCTGGACTGACAGGAGGGGCTGGCCCGACCGTGGCCCGGCGGTGGACAGAGGCATTATCGCCGAACCCCGCTCGCACCCGGGGTGGAAGCAAGGCAGGACCAGAGGCAACGCGGGTAAGGTTGCGGGCGAGGCCTCCGAGCCGACGCGGAGACAGGCAGGACCCGGCAGCAGGGGAGGCGGGAGAAGCTGCCGGGCCTAGGCCGCACCAGGCCGCGGAGTGGCCGTACGCGGCTTCCCGGCCGAGGCTTCGAGCCAAGCCTCGGCGAGCGGGGTTATCATTACCTGGACGGGTTCCTGCAGCACCGTCATCCTTGAGGCTCAGGCCCACTTTCTGCAGTGCCTCAGGCCCCCCCCGTAGCGGCTCCGGCCCGGCCAGCCCCGGCTCATTTAAACTCACCAGCGACCGTTACCGGGGGATGGGGGAGGCCGAGCGATTGCCGAGTACCTCCGAGTGGGACACGGAAATACCCGAAGTGGTGAGATCCGCGCGGGAGCCAGACGGAAAAGCCCGAAGGGGACCGGAAATGCCCGAGGCCGATCGGCTGAGGAGGAGACCGTTGCCGGAAATTGTCGAGGATTCCCGGGGACTACCGAGTCCGATCCAGAGCGGAGTTTTCCCCTCTCGGCCACGCCTTCACTCTCGCACGCCACGCCCAATCGGCCACCGCAGGTTGAGCCACGCCCATTCGGCGACCAGCGGGTTGGGCGTGGCTTACCGGAGCGGGCGGGGAGCGTTACGTGACCGGACTACCGCCTCCCCTCGCCACTGAACCTCTCCGGATCATTTGAGGCGCGGTAGTTTGAGGAGAGGGTAAAACACGAGAGTTTGGGGCTGACTTTAATTAATCAAGAAGTATTTGTTGAGTTTAGTTCATTCATCATTCCAGAAGTACCTATTCAGGGCTCAAGGAAAATAGGAAATTTGGAAGGATTGCCAGGCTTCAAAGACTGGTAAGGACATGGGCTGTCCACCTTGAAGAGATTACGGTCTCTTTAAGGGAAAGACAATGTAACAGACTGCTACGTTATGTGGTGCCCATTGTAAGCGACGTAAAAATTCAGAAGAGAGGGAAATAAATTGGGATTAAGATGAGAAAAGTTTCAGGGAAGGAAAAAGGGAGACTTAAACTGGACTCTGAAGGATAAGTGGAATTAGAAGAAGAGTGTCAAGTGAAGGGAAGCAGAAATGAGATCAGTCTGGTAAGAGTTAAGGCATTAACTGGAAATAGTTACATAGATGACCAGACCATGGAAATTGTTATTCCTGATAGGAGAGGCATTAGGCGTATTGGGAAATCTAGAGGCTGGATTTTGAATGTCATCTCTGGCACCAACTAGTTTTAGGTCCTTAGGCAAGTCACATTTCTGATTTGTATTTCCTTAGTCTGAAAATAATGATTAAAAGAATTAAATGGATTGATGTATGTGGTTGTGTCTGATGCACACAGTAGGCTCTCTCAAGTTTCCTTCCTGCTCCCTCTCCCCCCAAAACGTGTGAACCAGGGAACTATTAACATTTTGCCCCCAAAACGTGTGAACCAGGGAACTATTAACATTTTGTTTTTTGATAGATGATGAAAGCAGTTTTTGAAAGTTGATTGTCTAATCAGGACCTCTCTATGATAGATGTGGAACTCATGGTATAGTCTATGATGTGGGAATTTCCCTTTCTGGTTCTCAGAAACCAGATGAAACAGGTTAGAATGGATTCCTTCCTTCCTTCGGGTGATGTTGAAGGGAGGGTTTTTTTGTTTTTCAATACTAGTTAACAGAGCTATATCTGTCACCACCAACCATCTCTAGTAACTGCTTATTTGTAGCACCATAAAGGGTAAGTGCCAAGGAGATCTTCTGCCCTGTGCCCTGTTTTTGGTTTTTTGTTTGTTTGTTTGTTTGTTTGTTTTTAGCAGGATTATGAGTCGTCTACACTGTCCAACTGCGTAGTCACTAGCTATTTAAAGCTTAGTTAAAATCAAGTGAATTAAAAATGAAAATTTTCAGACACCCTAGTCACATTCCAAGAATTCAATAGACATACGTGGCTAGTGGCTCCCATACTGGGTAGCACAGATATAGAATATTACTGTCAGTGGCTTGACTGGGGCTGGAGATCCAAAATGGCCTCACTCACGTTTGGGGCCTTGGTGCTTGCTGTTGTCTGTGCCCCTCAGTTCTCCACATCTCCGCATGACTTGTGTCTCAGCGTTGGCCTCTCATCAGTCGGTAGGCTAGCCCCATTCTTGACTTTGTGGCTGGCAACCAAGAAGGTAAAAACTGAAGCCAGGAGGCCCCTTAAGGTCTAGGTCTGTAAATCAAACCCCATCACTTCTCATTGATTAAAGCAAGATAAAAGGCTCGCTTGGATTCTAGGGGAGGAGAATTGATTAAAGCAAGATACAGGGCTCGCCTGGATTCAAGGGAAGGAGAAATAGACTCTAGATGGGAGAAGTTGGCAACATGACACTACAAAAGGCTTGTGCCACCAGAGGGATTGATTGCCGGACCATCTTTGGAAACAGTCTACCAGATGTGAGATGAGAGAATCTGTAATGGTGATGGAAAGGAGATGGGCGAGAGATATCACTCTTAAAATGTGATGCTTTTAGCTGGTCATAACACTCCACCTTTATTCTGATTAATGCAGAGAGCGCTAAGACTATTGCTTTTATTATCGGGATGACTTCTAGTAAAGTAGACTAAAGTTGTTATTTGCATTTTTAATTGGCACATGACATTATTTGCCCATGCTAAGCTTGTGGTCGTTTTACACACACAGCTCTTCTACATACAACATGCAGCCAGTAGATCTTTGTGCAATAGATTCTTGTAAACTTGAACGTAGGAACTTGCAACACAGGATACATAATGATGATATTTGGTGTGTGAAAATGTGTATCTAGAGTCAGAAGAGTCTCTGATGCTTGGTGTTCTGGCTCTTAAACTTACAATTTGCTTCTAAAATCCCCTGGGATTTTTTTTTTTCCTCCCTAAAAAAAGGCATCTCTTTTCTAACTGTTCTTCACTGGGCTAATACATCTGTTGTGGTTTTCTGCTCATCCACAGCAAGGCCACATTGTTTGAAGTTGTGCTTTGATGGGATCTTTTAAAGCATTTTTACTTCCTTCTGTGTTCCTGATTGACCTACTTTAACTTGCCATCCAGCAACCACTTAGGCATCCTGCTGTCATCCATTATCCACATAATGTTTAGCTGGTGAACGGAGCTGGGTTACAGTAAGCATTATTCCAAACATGGTAAATTATCTCTTCTCCTTAGCCTGCCTCTTTGTCTGTTTCATGTTCACTCAGATTCAGAGGCCGGCTTTTAGGGAACCGTTCAAGAAGCTAGACTTGGTTTTCTTGCCAAGATGCAGGTCCCACTAAATACATAGCCCCCAACAAGATTGCTCTTCTGAATTCCTTCAGTGACCCTTGTCTGTACCTCCTGTTGTCCCTGTTCATGCTGCTGTCGTATCATCTTATATTACCTGACCTTGAGGCCTCTACTCCTGTGTTGGCTCCTCCCTCTTGGTCAAATCATCCCTTTCCTTTGGCATCTCTGATCACACAGTCTCCTGGTTTTCCTCCTACTGCTCTGTTTTTATTAGTTTCCTTTGTAGCCCCTCTAATGTTAGAATGGTTCAGGGGCCTGTTCTAGGCCTTCTTCTCACCCCTATGCTTTTTTCCTTTCCAAACCCATCCGTTCTCTTGGCCTCCGCTCTCATAAAATTGTTCCAAAATCCGTACCTCTAGTCAGACTGCTTCTTAGAACTCCAGACCTGAGTGCCTACCTGTCAGCTGGACATCTCACAGGTTCTTGTTGAGAATAGAATTCCTTGTTCCTCATACTTGAAGTACTTCCCATCTCAGTTTAAGGTATCACCATCCTCTCCATTACCCAAACCTGAAACCATGCTCTCTCTTTGACCCTACCATCTAGTCACAAAAGCCCTACTAATTTTACCCTGAATATACCTTCTCATCTCTTCCTGTCTCCAGCCTTACCTACCCTCAAAAACAAGTCTGATCATGTGAGGACTCCCTCCTAATCCTCCCCTCCCAACTCAGGATTTCCCATTACTCTCAGGAGATCACTCAAACCTGTTAACTTCTCTTCTAAGGTCCTCCACGGTCTAGTCTCTGCCACTTTTTTCAGCCTTGCCTCACTTCCCTGTTATACTCTATATTCCCCAAAGGGGACCGGAATATGTCACTTTGGCATAAGGATTATTTTGACCTGAAAAAAACTAGGAAGCAACAAACACAGAAAGTACTCTTTGCTTTCCCCCATTTGCCTAAAATCAGGACATCAATTTCCCTTTGTGAAGTTGTTTCCTCTTCCCCCCTCTCCTGTACCAGGAGGAGGAAAACAACCATTATCACTAGAGACAAGGAGCTGGCACTGATTCTGCACAAACAAACTTTACTGAAATAACCCTTATCTTCCATTAGTTCCCCCATATATTTACCTTTACACAGCTTACCACCCCGCAAGCCCAAACTTTTCTCCTTTGTTTTGTCACTTCTCCACAAATTTATTGCTGTTTGCTAAGATGTTATGCAAGCCTCAAGTTCTGTTCTAACCACCTCTTGTTTTTAAACTCTTATTTTTAAAATTCTGTTAATCTGTCTTTTGTCAGTTTAATTTACAGGGTCCATGATACAAACCTAAGAGGGTAGAGGGACGGTCACATGAAGCACATAGCAAGAAAGTAGCCATCTACAAGCCTGGAAGAGAGCTCTCATCAGAAACCAAATTTGCTAGCACCTTGATCATGGACTTCTAGCCTCCAGAACTGTGAGAAAATACATTTCAGTTGCTTACTCCACCCAGTCTGTGGTATTTGGTTATAGCATCCTGAGCAGACTAATATGATCAAGATTATTTATGTCATATCTCCCGAAGAGAAGGCTAAGCCTTACATGTCTCTTTATTGTTTTAGGAAAAGAATTACATATTTAGTAGATGCTTAAAAAATATTGACTGATTAAAGTGGAACCCTTTACACATATTACTTCTTCTTCCTAAATCACTTTGCCCTTATTCTTTTTTTTAACAAGGAGAAGCTATTTAGTTAGTTATAATTTGTTTTAAGTTTATTTATTTTGAGAGAGAGAGAGAGGGAGAGAGAGAGTACGTGAGCAGGGGAGGGGCAGAGAGAGAGGGAGAGAATCCCAAGCAGGCTCTGCAGTGCCAGCGAGGAGCCCGATGCAGAGCTTGATCTCGAGAACTGTGAAATCCTGATCTAAGTCAAAATCAAAAGTCAAACGCTTAACCGACTACGCCACCCAGACACCCTTGCCCTTACTTTTTAGCTAAATTCAACTTATCCTTCAGTCCTCAGGCCTTGATATTACATCCTTAGAATATTCCCTGTCCTACCTAACCAAAATTATTAACTCTACCCTACAATTCTCTCTCACAACATCTTTATTCCTTTCCTTCATAGTATATATGGCAATTTTAATTATGTTTGTTTAATATAAATTCCTTGAAGGTAGGGACTTTGCCTCACCCTGCTGTCCTCATTATCTAGTATAGTGCTCTGCACAAATATAAAGTTATTAAAATATTATAAGTATATCTGATGATTAAATGACATCACTACTCAGTGTTATCCCTTATTGGTCATAACTTGATGCTCTTTTGAGTGTCCCTTTCTGGACCCAGAGAACAGGCTGGTTTTGCACATAGGTCCGTAAGGGATTTCACGTCAAAGCAGTCTGAAGTGTTGAGGCTAATCAGATGCATCCTGGTTGAGGTGAGCTCTGGGACGGTCTACATGGCTGATGGCAAGGAGGGCTAGACAGACTTCAAAAGCACAGGGAAGAAGATAAATGGTAAGCAAATTAGCTTGCCTGCAGTGGAGGCAGTTTAAGCTTGGTTGAAGTGGTGGTGTGTGGGACAGTTGATAAGCTCTGGGTTCCAAACTGATGACTTTAGGTTGATAAAATAGACCTACGGAGCTGCTGGTGGTGATTGAGCTGGGCAGTGACTTCACGGGAATGGAATTTGAGAAAGATTATGCTAACAGCTGAGGATTATGTGAATTGGAGGAGAAAGACAGTAGGGGCCAGGAGTGCAGCAAAGAGGCTGCTAGGGAGATAAGGCAATTCTAAATTTCCATTATTCTTGGATGGTTGTGACATGGGATCAGCGAGCCCAGCGGTTGAAAAAGAATTCTTGAGACATTTTATGGTGCAAAAAGGTGTTTTTATTGTAGCACGGGAACAGGACCCATGGGCAGAAAAGGCTGCATTGTGATTGTGAAGAGTGACTGATTATATAGGGTTTTCTATCCTATGGAGGTGAAGGTGATGCTAGGTCTCCAGGAAATGGAGTCTATAGGTTCCTGGAGGTCTATCACTGAGATTGTGTTTTTCTTGTAAATCATTAAGACAGTTACAAACTATAATGGAGTTTCATGTCCTACATGACTGTGATCTTTCTTTTTTTTTTTTTTTTTCAACGTTTATTCATTTTTGGGACAGAGAGAGACAGAGCATGAACGGGGGAGGGGCAGAGAGAGAGGGAGACACAGAATCGGAAACAGGCTCCAGGCTCTGACCCATCAGCCCAGAGCCTGACGCGGGGCTCGAACTCACGGACTGCGAGATCGTGACCTGGCTGAAGTCGGACGCTTAACCGACTGCGCCACCCAGGTGCCCCATGACTGTGATCTTTATCAGTTAACCATTTGTTTTTCCCGTCTTTGTTCTTAGGTAGTTACTAGTGCCAATATATATATATTCCACCTTAAGGCAGTGGGGAGGTTGCCCCTAAAGGGGGGGATTGCAGGATGTCAGATTGTGTTTTGCCCTCAGCTTGCCTTTTTCTCTCTCATAATTGAATCTGAAAAAGATGGAAAATGAAAATAGTTACAAGTTACTCATTTACAGCGGGAAATATTCTTATCCAATTCCTTTTTTTTAAGGGCATTCAGATTCCAACCAGAGGCTGCTTATTGAGTACAGACAGATCAGAAGAATGAATTCAATGATCTTACCGGCTATTATCTCCTTTTCCTCAGAAGGCACTTATATGCCTGATTGCTAGATAAAAAATATTTCTATTATCTGGAGAGGATGTTCACCAAATAATAGGTTCTTTGTTTCTCCCCTTTTTAAATGTATATATTTTTACATTTATTTATTTTTGAGAGACAGAGCACAAGTGGGGGAAGGGTAGAGAGAGAGGGAGACACAGAAACAGAAGCAGGCTCCAGACCGTGAGCTGTCAGCACAGAACCCATTTGCGGGGCACGAACTCACAAACCGTGAGATCATGACCTGAGCTGAAGTCGGACGCCCAACCGACTGAGCCACCTAGGTGCCCCCTCACCTTTAAAAGATTTTTTTTAATGTTTATTTTTGACAGACAGAACGTGAGTGGGGGAGGAGCAGAGAGAGAGGGAGAATCCGAAGCAGGCTCCATCCAGGCTCTGAGCCATCAGCACAGAGCCCAACGTGGGGCTCGAACTCATGAGCCGTGAGATCATGACCTGAGCCAAGTCAGACGCTTAACCAACTGAGCCACCCAGGTGCCCCTGCCCCCTCCCCTTTATAGCTTCTAGGCAAAATTTAATTTTTCTCTAAATAATTGCATAGCAATGAATTAAATGCAGACTTGATTCTGTTCCAGTCTGGAGTCTCTTCTATAGTTGTCACAAATAGAACCTGTTGTTTGCTTGTTTTATGTATCACAAATAAATGATTTAGGACATAGGTGATGAGCTCGGTTTAAAATATACTGAGTTTGAAATGCTCAGGTGAGAAATGCCCAAATTTTAATTGAATATGTGAAGCTTGAACAATTTAAGAAAGAAATTGAGGCTGGAGATAAGAGATTTTCCCGGTTGAACTAAATGCATTCTATTTTGGTTATATAACACCTTCTAAAACCTCTGTGTGAGTATTTGTCATTACATTAAAACTATTTATATATCTGCATCTTCCACACCAGACAGGAAGCTCCTTGGGGGCAGGGATGGCCTCTTACTCATTTTAGTAAAAGTAGGTGCATACTGTAGGTGTTTAATAGGTGTTAGCTGAATGAGTGAATGAATGAATGAATGAGAGTAAACTGGATAAAGGAGATACAGGAGAGGAGGGTCAATGACAGAACTTTGGTGTGATAAGTACAGCAGAGAAGGCCCAGAGACAAGACCACTAGATCTCGCCACAGAGAAGTCAGGGAGGAAGTCAGAATTTAAGAAGTAAAAGAAGAAGTTGGTAGAAAGGAAAACCAAGAAAAGAGAATCATTTTTAGCACTAAGAACATCTCCCCAAATGCTGAGACAAACTGCTTGCTAAGGGGTAGAGCCTCTTTTTCCTTGCTAGGAGCCATCCACACTGTGGGTGACAGGGCCAGCTGTCATTGATGCTTTCTTGCTCCCTTCCCCGCTTGGGGGCCAGGGCTCTCCATGGAGGAATCCTTATCAGCTCTACCAGCTTCCACTGTTGCCTTACAGTAGTGTCCTGGGTTCTAGTCTCGGGTCTGCCATGACCTTGGTCTAGTCACCCCTTCTATCTGCGCCTCTAAAGTCCCTTGCAGCTGACAGGATGTCTGGGGCGGCGGGGGGGGGGGGGGGGGGGGGGGAGTGTGTAGTTTGGATGACTGGTGAGGGTTCTGACTTGCTCCCTGTTGCTTTCAACTATAAATCACTTTGCCAGACACCAGCTGTCCTGCCCTCTGCTTTAGATTCTCAGGCGGACTCCAACCCACCTGTTGTTGGAGCCCCTCCCAATGTCCTCCTCCAACAGCTGAGCTCACAGATACAGCACTAGGCAGCACTGCCTTGATCACAGCACAGAAACTAGCTTCAACCATTTAGATGGACTCTCGAGTGATTAGGCCAAATGTGTAGCATTCTCCACCTGCACTAAACAGCCAAGGAAATGAAGTTGGACGGGATGATTTAAAGCGCTCTGAGGACTAGTCCTATCATGGTCTTTGAAAAATTGCTTTTAGACCCTTTCATTCTTTTTCTGCCTTTACCTTTGGTGCTCTGGGTTTTAAAGGTCACGGAGACTTCAGGTTTTCATTGCTTTTTTCCTTCTTCCGTGGTCACAAGGAATCTTAGATACAGGGGATTGGGTTAATCATTCTCCTTAATTTATAGCCTTCTTTCATCAGTGGTCCATGCAAGGCCTCTCTTGTTTAATTTTTTATTTGCGCCCTTTTATCTCACCGTTCTATCCCATCCAAACAACACTCACCATAAGCAACCGTCAAATATTTTTATTTTAATTTTGTAATGTTTATTTATTTTGAGAGAGAGACAGAGAGAGAGAGAAAGGGAGGGAGAGAGTGTGGGAGAGACACAGAGAGATGGAGAGAGAGAATCCAAAGCAGGCTCCATACTCAGCGGGGAGCCCAACACGGGGCTGAATCTCATGAACGTGAGATCATGACCTGAGCCGAGATCAAGAGTTGGACGCTTAACTGACTGAGCCACCCAGGCGCCCCAACCCTCAGAGATTTTTAACGTGTATTTTTTTGTTTGTCTGTGTTCTTGAATAACACGTAATGCTTCTAGTATCCATGTACTTAATAAAATTTAATAATATATCTTATTCCACCCAGTAGAGCCAAATGTTATTTCAACATGTAAATGATATAAAAATTATTGATAAACTGTATTAAATTATTATTATTTTTTTGCTACTAAGTCTTCAAAACCCAGTGTGTGTTTTTTCTTATAGCACATCTCAGTGTAGATGTTAAATTTTCGTCAGAAATACTCGATCTGGGGGCGCCTCGGTGGCACAGTCGGTTAAGCGTCCGACTTCAGCCAG